TTAGGTTACGGAAAATCACAGGTGAATGCTCTCAGTATTTGACTTAAAGGCGACTCTGTGGAAGAGGAAAGCAATGATGACGGGGAGAGTGACGACGTGGATGAACATGAGTCCGATGAAGGTAGGTAGGTGCTTTGTTAACCCATATGATACGAAAACCAAAATAGCAGTCTTGAAACGTGATTGACTACCGCTACTGTAGTATTTCGTCGAAGGGTATTGGAGGGTCTGACGTCACAGTGCAGTAGGTGGCGACTTGTGCGATTTCACTTCATATGACGGGATTCTAGTGCAGTTGCGCCATGTGGTCTATTTATTTTGATAACTTAATCATTGTATCCTCCTATCCTTACTCAAGACAAAGTGGAAGAAGTGAATGCTTCTCCCTCGGCTTTGGACAGTGGTGAGAGCGAGGCGGATGAAATGGATGCGACCGCGGGGAATGACTCAGAGGGCGAAGCGATTGATGCTTCACTAGTAGAGGTGCTGAAGACCCGTAGAGCTTGTGAAAAGGCGCTCAAATCGCCAGGTGCCAAGCGTAACTGGAGGACTACTGTGGGAACCGAACGAGTTGGCACCGTGCCCAAAGTGGTGATTTTTATTCATTGATAAGTGTTATTGGTCGCTCAAAGTGGTGGTGGATATTGGCGAGATTCGAGGTTGGGATTAGCCTTAGGAATTGATGTCATACTCGTAATGAGAACTGGCACGGCGTGTGAATTAGTGAGTCCACAAATTGCCTTTTGAGGAATTAAGTGGAGGCAAATTCACCTACACAAGACTGGTGTACAATGTTTCTTGGTTATCCGACCAATTTGTGCTGACGCGATGCCACATAAAGACGGCAGGTGTTAGTGCTTGACTATCATTTCTATACCTTGCAGGAATATCTCGTAGCAAGAGGTTCTGATATTTGACATTTTCACTCCCTACGCTGGTTTTATTTCAGCTTGTGGTCCCGAAAAGAAACCGAAAGTGAACGCTCTCTGCAATTTGAACTTGTACATACCCAAGCCTAATATTGAATAAAACTGGTCATTGATATCCTCGATTGGTATCTACTAAAGACGAATGAATATAAAAACTACCCGAGGCATAGGACGGGTGCTATCAAAGGGTGTCACAGTGGATTGATTGCATTGAACTGAACACATAAATTGTGGTCTAAAGGCTGCAGTTCTCGCCTTATTGAAATCATGAGA